GGTTATGAACTAATTTAGAATTAATCCAGTTTCACATTAAGTGCTGTATATAGGGAGTATGTGCATTAAATCATTGTTTATGGTTATTTGTGGAAAACACTGCAAACGCTGTTGCAAAACCACCAGAGCCGTATAAATATCCAGATTATAATTTGTCCAACATTACTATAAATAGCATAACCAAGAGTAATTTAATTAAAATAATGCTTACGGTAGTTCATTAAAATAAAATAAATAATTTTAGTTTAATTTTGTGACATGGTTTTGTTTATTGTTCAAGAAATTACTCTACTCAGTACTATTGCACACTATAACACAAACCCCCCCCCACCCCCCCCCAAAAAAATAAAAAACAAAAAACACATCTCTAATTTAAGACAAAATATTGGCAGCTGCGGTTTCCAGAATGTTAACGTATAAAATTTTGACAACCACAAATCTGTGTTGTTTCCAGAATTTAAATACAATAAGATTGTTTTTTTTTTGTTTGTTTTTTTTCTTACAGTGTATGGTTAATATCACCAGAGGGTCCAAACATTTTACACTGAATTTGTAGCAGCTTCATCTTATGTACAACTCTTACTCATACTGTTTTTTATCCAGCTTGGAACTAGTTTCATTACTTTACTGCAGTATTTCATAATTAAACTGTTACCTGCTGACTAAAAAGCCAAGTCTTAAAAAAGTAGGTACAGGTGAACATGAAGATTAACGCATGCTAACTCACAGATACAGACTTCTTTATTGTAGACAGAGGTTTTGATAACTGACTTTAAACTTATGCCAGAAACAGTCAGAAAATGAGCAAAACCAAAGGAGAACAGAAGTGTAAAAGTAAAGATGAGAAACACTGAGATTGAACATAGAGAGGAAACAGGCATGTTGAACATGTGATATTGCTTCTATGAATGAAGATCCTGTTGTGGAGTTTCAGTGCCCCCTTCTGTTAAAGTCTGTCAAAGCACCTTATGAGTAGTTAGTGTATATTTCAGGACCAAGAATCCCTTTAGTTTGTGTGCATGGGGTATAACTGAGAGACAAGGAAGCTACACTAGAGAAAAATTAAACATTTGTGTAATTACAAGATCCAAAAATGTTCCTTTAAATTCTTGCAGAAACAACCTGTAAAAACCAGTTTAATTTTAGTAACAAGTATCTCACAGTCTTCAACACTCATCTTCATCACTCAGTCTTAAACACTCATCTTCAACACACAAAGCAGACTTTTACAGAATGAATATTGAAATTACTTTTTGGGTCAGTCTGAGATAAAGATGGAAGTGCCATTTTGTACCGTATGTACCTTATGTCACTGCACCAACAGTGCAGTAGTACTGCATATGGATGTGTGGGTGTTTGAAAGCATCTTAAGGGAGGTCATTATCTCTGCTACCTCAAAGTATCTCAAAGTATCAAAGTATTTGTAGAAGAGATAAAAACCCTTGTGTCAGCAGGTCTGGAAGATATGCATGGACTAGCTGGACAGACCACACAGGCAATGCCAGGGTGAATACTAACACAGTGAAGGAACGATGATATGGCCAAACAACCTTGTTTTTAAACAAAACAATTTAAAAAATTTGTTCCCATTATTTGTAATGTTTTTCATTGGCTGAAGAAAATCTTTTAAAGTCTCAAACCAAATATCTATATTTTCCAAACTTATATCCAGGAGCGTTTAAAAGAAATAATTTTGTTTCAAACGTAATTTAAAAATATTAAGTATAAAATGGTTGTGCTTTGGTGGAAGGATAATTCATCATCATTCATCAACATACTATTTTGCTTTTATCCAAAAGTCTGTGGTGTGTATATATATACATATATATGAAATTATGCATGCATACATACATACGTGTGTGTGTGGGGGGGGGGGTTGTTACAGATAAACTATCAAGTAGACAGTATGCAACTATCAACTCCGCAATTCAATTGTACAGCTCACTACCCAATTAGACTAAACAAACTACTTAAATGTAAAATTTGGAATCTTGTGAGAAACTGAGGACACAATATTGCTAAAAATAAAGATTCCAGATTTGTTGGTCTTGCAGACAAACACTAGGGGCTAGTCTAAGTGAAGACTTAAGTGGACTTCTACCTCATTAAAACAGCTGCAGTTTTAATAACTTTGGGGAAATGTTCGTGACCAGAATGTTTACATTGGGCAATTATTTTTATAGAAAGGATGGGTTAATCCATAAGGAATCTTCCTCTGTGAAACATGTATTGAGTCAGTAATTGCCTGACAGAAAAGGCAATGTAAAATCAATATAACAGCCTTCATCTAAACCGATGAATAAAGATTCTGCTTTGTCCACAAGTTTACTTTTTTACGTGACAGTTACTCTGAAAAATATATGTACACCAATATAGTGGAAATACTGAAGCCTTCTTTCGAAATTCAATTATTGATAAATTGCATAATTATGGTTAGTTTTTGTTGTACTTCATTTTTTCTGGCCAATTCTAAAAGAAAATTAGGAACAACATAGCCTTAAATCCATCAATCAACAAAATTACCTGGTGAATTTTCAGAACCAGTTTGGAAATCATCAATAAATCTTGCTCCCTTTCACACTCCTTTATTTTATGTTTCTTTTTTTAAAAACTTCATCATTTCCAAGAAAAACTAATAATAATACTACGTGTAATAAAGGGGTACTTATTTCTTCTAATGTGCAAGTTTGTGTCAGAAAATACATATGTGCATCTGAATGCTTGATAGTATGCCGTAAAACCCAGCTTCATTTTCCTCAGGCCTTAGGATAATTTACAGCCACACCCTGGGATGAGACTTTCCTAAGGGGTTCCAAGCAGCATATCACTACACGCTATGCAACTACACAGAAAATAAGGAGCAGCTTTTGCCACTTTTTTCTTCATTTTTTTTGTGTAGATGACACTGAATAGATAGTGCAGAGTTATGTGCCTGTCAGATACTAAATAATGTCCAAGTTTCAGTCAAAACCTCAGACAAAGTTAAACACATTTATCTTTGGACGTTTACATTTGCAGGTGTAAGAGAGCAACTGTGTGCATGAGTGCATTTTCAGACAAAGGTGTCCAGACAGTGTAAAGCTTTCCTTTATCACAATCGTTATATGGTACAACACCAATCTAAAATGTGTCCATTAGGGCATTGTGTATATTTGTGCTTGCATTTAGGGTATGTGTCTGCCCAGACTACTCTAAGTGCTGATGTTAAACCCATCACTATAGAAGACTGGGGGCACTGGGCACTTTAATGGACAGTTCAATGCCATCATCAATGCATGCACTTTCAAACAAATTACCACAACAGATTTGAATGCATTTTGTGTGCTGGATTTGAATAACCTATTTCACAACATAAAGGGCAGGATGTCAACTCAGCCAATTCAACCCCTCCTCCTCCTTAATTTCCTCTGTCAGTCTGCCTGGCTCTCACACCCACCACCCTACATTTTCTGTCTCTGTGTCTTGAAAGCATAAGCTTGACCCTAAGACCAGCTAATTTCAAAGCAAAATTAGAAAAAAGAAAGGATAGATAGCAGCTCATTTTACACTCACACTTTTTATTCACACAAACATTTGGGAGTAGCTGTCCCACCTCTTGAGCTGTAGGAAGAGGAGTGAGAAAAAAATAAACAATGGTGCCCTTAGGGGTCTTCCATCTCGATGAATGGATCCAACTAAACAGTTATCAGTGAAAAAACAAACACTCAGATCGACTGTTGGATAGGATAGATGAGGCATCGTAAAGAAGAATAGAAGATAAAGAAAAACAGGTAAACAAGACACAGTGAAGACAACTTTGTAATAAAGCAGATGGAAGTGAGGGAAAGGAGTGAGGAGATAAAGTGTGTGGAGGGAACTAAAAGATGGATAAACCAAATGACCAAGAGGAAAAGAGTAGGAGATAATGGGTATCGGAATGACAGCAGAAGCCAGGAGCTGATGTAGAGGAGAGATGAAGAACAGAAATATATCAAGAGGAATAAAATAGAACAATGAAAAGATAAGTTTAAATGAAATCAACAGCTGAACAAATAGAGAGTGACAGCCAGGTTGAAAAAGAAATAGAGAAAGAGCAGGTGAAAAAAAATGCAAATTCACTTCTGTTGTAAAGTACATCCCACAGCTGAGATTATTACCAGCTCAGTTTTCTAACTGAATGTGTTTGTGTTTTGGGTCCAAAGAAAATGAATGTGTTAACTTTAGATTAATCACGTTAATGTACGTGCTTAATCTGAAAATTTAACATGAAATGGACTTGATACGCAGGAAGCGTGAAAGTTTTATGCGACAGAAGACAGCAACAAAAGTTGAACATTTTCAAGTTTCTCGCAGGTACACGCAACGCACTTGTGTATGAGTTTGAAATTTCACATGCTCAAATTATACCCTTCACTTGGTTGGATGAGGTCAACTGGCTGTCACCTCATTGCCTCATCTATATAGGCAGTTGCCTGGGGCACCACAAGAAGTGGGAGAACAAAGAAGTCGGAAGAAATATATATGTCTATCAGTTGTCCCCTGAAAAAGTTTCCTTCTTCCCGTATGCATCTGTAGTGGAATAAGTTTCCCTTAGTAGTAGGAAAAATACTAAGGGAAACTTAATAGTTTCCCTTAGAGGGAACTCAACATACTATAGATGTTGAGTACTGGGAGACTACATTACCTACTTTCTGATCTAATAATTGCTTGCATTTTAATCCACTGGAATGAGGCAGGAGGGGCTTGCATAACCATAAGCATATTTGTATTTCAAGCTTACAAAGTCATGGAATAGTGATAAATCATGATTAATCACAGTGCCAAAGTGTGATTAATCCGATTAAATTTTTAAATCGATGTACAGGGCAATATTTTGGGTTTTTTTTAATACATTTTGAAAGAACTCAACAGACAGATACCATTAAAAAAGTAACAAAATGCTACTTTGCCTTCTCACAATCCTTAAGAAATTACTATCTGAAAAGACTTTCAGAGTAAATATCAAATGTGTGTTTTCTCACTAATTTAGTTGATTTGACTTCACATTTTCTGGAGATTGTTCCCTTGACTCTGGTTCTTTTTGTCATTCCAAGACCAGCATTAGGGACTGAAGATGAAGATGACGTCGGCGGTGGGGCTGAAAGAGTAAACACGTAGATGTTAACACCCGGCACAGGGATTTTATTTATTACTATTATCAACATATGGATTTATCATTATGAAACCTGGAGGAAAAGACAAAATGAACATATTAATTAGATAAATATTGTATATTCATATTGTATGTTGGATCTTTCTAAATCAATGTACTATAGGAATAGGAATGATTACTAATTAATCAACTATTGACTAATTGATTAATTTAATTAGTAAATTATTTTTCTTGTACTAATTAACTCACCTGGCAGTGGTTCATCCTTCAAAACTCTGATCTTCATTTTTCCTTCTAGAAGCTGTGAAGATGATATACAAGTCACGTAAAAGTGGAAAATGTTTTTACCAGTTTACAGCCTGGTAAAAAAAAAAAATTATGTTTGTTTTAATAATAACAGTATACCAACTCCTGTATCTTTTATGTGGCATTAAATGTTTAGGATTAATAATAAAAATAAATGAAGCTCAGAGTGACTGTATAAAGTTCCATAAAATAACAAAGGCATAGGAGGCAGAGTTTGTTTTTTTTTACTTACTTTTTGGACTTTGTTGTCATTGGTCTTCTTGAAGCTGTTTGGTTGAGGGTTACTGATGGCAGAAATACATTGTCCAAATTTCCACTTTAAGTCTCTAAAATGCCTAAGAAAGAGACCAAGAAAGACAAATGTCACAGATGAAGGACAGATGATTAAATGAATAATTGATTGTAATTGTTGTCAAAAGTCCACAGTTTTCCAGAAGTACTCATTCTGTCATTCATGCCAATGAGATCATAACACAAGAAATTAGTATCACTGAGGCAAGCCAGTCTGATTTAGTGAGATGCTTTCTTATGTCCACTAACTAGACAGTGAAGAACTCTATGGAGTTGAAGATGCCAGCATGAGTCCTTTGACACAGCACTGACTATGACATCTGACAAAACAGCATTTTCAAACAATTCAGACAACTCTCAGTGCTTTTCTCAAGCTTATATCAGCAGTCACTGCAACAGCTGTTAGTGTTTTTGAACTAATTTATTGTACCATTTCATATAGAAGAAAAACAATCATCTGAGTGTTATAAGCACTAGCAATATTTATGAAACTCACTGAATTATTAGATTTTTCAAGGTTTTAACTGCAACAGATTATTACTAATTTCATTTCTCAGGATAGGTGGAATGTACATATAATACATAATTGGGAGTCTTAAAGACTGAAAAAACAGATTCAATTTTGATGAATAACGTTTTGTTGTCATTGCAAATTTGTTTTATTTTAAACCGTAGTTTGGTCACAAGAGTAGGTATGTCAAGTCTAAATATGTAAGGTAATGTTAGCATTTTTTAAAAATTTTCCCCTCCAGGGTTTTTTTGTGGGCTCTCGTATCCCTTATATGAAAGTAGGCTGACAGGAAAGGAGGCAAGCAGAGCGGGTAAGACATGCGGCAAATATCGTCAGGTCCGGAAATTGAATCCGCGACGGACACGTCAAGGACTCAAGGCCTCCAACCGTGGGTCGCGTTATCCCTTAGACCACCACAGCATGCCCAATGTTAGTATTTTGGAGACTTTTTTTTAGATGTGAGCTCTAAAGAACAATTGTTTTCCAAGAGAAACAAAACATGTCGTAAACAATATAAAAATACACACTATTTGAAGAAAATGAATTTGGCAGTTTGATGTGACATTTTGGAGTACAAACTATGGTATCACAATAATAACACAACATTTTAAAACAAGTGTATTAAATTATCAAATTGCATTCAGTTAAAAACAGAAAAGTTACAAATATCCCAACAATGACTGGTATATCACATTGATTTGTTAAAATTATGTTATCTGTAACATTTACTGTATATCTTGATTGATATATAAACACTGGTACAAATTTTTCATAACTGATAAATTTAGTACAGTAAACACTGTGCTTATGCAGAATACTAAGCCTTTTTTGCCATTCTGTTCTTAACAGAGTAATACATGCCAAACAAACTGATAATAGATGAATATTTACCTGGGCTATCTGCTTAGCTGATGTTTGTAGCTTTTCAATTGTATATTTAAATAATTACTTTAGGAACTAATTTCCTTTTAAAACAGCCATATTGTATTGTTGGAAATACTTTCAAACGTCTCAATTTATAGTTCTTGAGAGCAGAAAAGTTTGGAAGCTTTCTTTTGAACCAGCTCAGACACTACAACATCAGGTAGTGGTCTCCTGATGGTAGCCAGAGTCAGAACTAAGCACAATAACACTGCATTGCAGTTTTATGCCCCTAAAATCTGAAACAGTCTTTCTAGAGAAATGAGCCGGGACTGAACTCTAACAGTGTTTAAATCCAAGCTAAAAATAATTCTTTTTAGCCGTGCATATGACAGATGGAAGGATTTGATCTACTATTTTTTCCTAATTAGACAATGATATTTTTTAATCAACTTTAAACTCTATTTAAACTCTATACATTTTTCTGTAAAGCTCTTATACACAAAATGTGCTATACAAATACATGTCCCTTGCTTTGCCTTTCAGAAAGCTGAAAGCACTGTGTGTAGCACCTGGTGGGTGAGAGGTAGCTACTTTAGGTTTTTGGTTTATACTTCCAGAGAAGCAATAACCTCTTTTGAAAACTTGGTATATATTGATATCAGTAATGGACCAATGCCCAGTGAAATGCATATGTACAAACCCTGCACAGAAATTTAAGTTTCCAAACTGTGGATGAGAGAAGTGTGGTGGAAATATTGTTTATTCTCATGTTGCTGAATTATTTATGACATTTATTCTATTGTGATGCTAGGCTCTCTTTGGAAAAAAAGTTTATTTTAGATTGAGCTGGCAGCCTGTCAAGGCTCAGGAAGTCAGACTTTGAATCTGAATATGTGTGTATGGAATGGTGAGAGAATCCAGAAACCTGATGTTGTTGCTTTGCTGTACTGACACTGAGGGAAGGCGTCAGGTAATCATCCTACCAGCATCATCACGGCAACTGGACTGTCGCTAGAAGAGACAGTTGAAGCACACCCCTGTCAGTGCAGGATGACAGGGTGTCCCCTCAGGGGCCCCCTCAGTCTGAATGCCTATTTGGGTTTATGTATGGACTGCATTAATGAAAATCAAATCATCTAATCCAAACAGACAAAACAATGAACTACACTCACATACGCATAGTTCTAAACAGTAATGGCTAAAACATTTAGCCTAGGTTCCATGAGGGAACTTGTCAGCTATGATTTATGTACCGCATTTTCCGGACTATAAGTCGCAGTTCTTTTCATTGTTTGGCCGGGGGTGCGACTTATACTCCGGAGCGACTTATGTGTGGAAATTAACACATCATTATATCATATCACATGTTATTTTCACACTAAACGGCAAGAGGGCGCTCTAGGGCCCTCTTGCGGGCCCTAGAGTTGTTTAAAAGCAACACAGAGGATGAGGATTTCATTCAATTTAGTGATTTGGAGTGACACAAATGGTTTGGTAAACTTGTTAGCATGTTATTTATGCTATGAATAACTCTTAATATGTTGTGTTAACTTACCCGGCACATTCTCAGTTCGTTGTTCATGTGTCATGTAACGTTAGCATATTGTACAATTATTCAGCCTGTCATTACCTCTGTTCTATTTTTATTGCCTTTCAAGATGACATGTCTGTTCTTGGTGTTGGATTTTATCAAATAAATTTCCGTCAAAAATGCGACTTATACTCCGGAGAGCCTTATATATATTTTTTTTCTTTATTATGCATGTTATGCCAGGTGCGACTTATACTCGGGAGCAAATTATAGTCCAGAAAAAACATTAATCGCTGAATACATAAATACAGTAATTGCTGAATACATAAATTCATAAAAGAAGAAATGTTTTTTTTTGTAATTGAGAAATCATCATAATTAACAGAACAAAGGCAAGAAGAGATCAGTCTCTGTGTTATTAAACAGCATAATAAGTTTAATTTCTTGAATTTAGTTATTCAAATTAATGAAAAATAAAATATTAAGATGCACCTGTAAGCAAACAACCAGAAATGCAGATTTTTGATTAGAATAGTGGTAAGATTTTTTATATATATAAAAATGAATTCTACCTTTCCAGATCAAACTAATGAAATTCTTTGTCAATGTACTCACAATTACCAAATACAAATAAAATGACAGGTAAAATTAGACAGAAAGCTGCACAAACATTTCTGCTCCTTTGACCTTTACTATAGATGACTATATGGGTATTAGCCAACCTCATTTTAAAAGGTGTTTCAGTTTTCTCATCTCTTCCTTCCAAAGTGGATTTTCTGCTTGACCTTTACAGGTGGAAGAATCTCTCATGTCTCTGCACTTTAGACTGGAGTCATAGTCTTTCTGTCTCTGTTACTCGTCTTTTCCATGTTGTTTGCAGCTGTCTTATGGTTGCTGCACACTTTTCCAACTTTTTCTAGTCTCAGTACTGCATCCCCAATTGCATCTCAGCCTTATGCGTGCCCTTTTAGACACTAATAGTTGTAATCCAACTACTTTTCATCTGATATCTTTATCAAGATATGGAGGCTTAATTCTTCCCAAGCCAAGACTGTACAGCTCTTTCAACAGAACATCACTCAGGCCATTTGTTATACCATTCCACTGATATTAGGAAATTTCAACTGTGTCATCCACTCAGAACCAGCGATTCTTTTAAAACAATATGTGCAAGATATGCTAAAAATTATAATCTGCAGTGATACCAAGTCTTTCTGCAATAATAATTTTGGAAAACAAATATTAAAACTGTTCAGAGAACATAGTTTTTATCTTCATAAGATAAACGTAATGTTTAACACAATACTTCAAGTGCATTAAGACCATCTCCTTTTATTTAAGACAAGATTTCACTTTCATAAGCTTCCTAAGGTTATTTTTTTGTTCTTCGTGGTGTATCTTCCATTTAATGACTATCAAATCCTATGATCATATTTTTACATTTCTTGAATTTTTCTGGGCATGTCTACTCAACAGCACAATTTCATTTAATGTTATTGCTTTACTTACATTTTGGCTTATTCCGTTTGTTTATTCGTTTCCAGCACTACTCTTTAGAATATAACCAAGACTCACCTTCTCTCCTCCTTCTCTTTACTCATGCTTTCTTTCAACTGTTTAAGTTTCTCCTCCATATTCTTGCTCTCACTGGCCAGTGTTGCAGTGTCCAATTGCAGTTTGTGCAGGTTCCTATAGCAACAAAATCACGTGCACATACAGCAAACAGGTATCAACAATCAATCACACAAATGACCAGTTTTGTCAGATTGGATGGCAATCTTTCATCGATATATGTTCAATTCATCTTCAGCATTAGCAGATCCCTGTTTCCATGACTAAATCAATACTTCAATCAATTAGTTGCTGGATCAGTGTACTGGCAACCAAGGCATCAACCCAGTCAATTATCTGTAGGCATGTGAGAAACTGTAGCGAGGTATATAACCGAATTTTGTACTGTGCTCACAAAAATTGGACAACATATCTTCAGTCACCTAAAAGAGATGCTACACAGACAACTGCAGAATCAAGAAAGGCTATAGATTGTCCAGAAGTCCATTTTGTTCATGATAAAATTTGAATGCTATGGATGGCTAGCAGATCAATAGCACTGTAGTCAAAGTATGCTAATGGGCTTCTAGTTAATGCCCTAAATCACATTATTGATCTTATCTTACCTGGAATTGAGCTTGAAAGATCTGGTCCTGTTGTTAGGAACCACATAATTATTTAAATTCATGCTTCTTATGTCCAGGGGTTGCAGTATTTCACCAAGATCTCCTAACACGCTTTTGAAAAGAAACTCTTCTGCAGCAATACAGAGATGCCATTAAATTTACAATCATGTATTTCTCACAAAATAACACTCTACTATAAATAAACCAGACCACAATAAAAACAGCAAAAATATTTAATGGAAAAAAAATATTTCACTACGATAGATAGGGACATTTTCTATGTATTTAAAAAGTACATTTGCAAATACTGTAATATATCAGCAACACAGGCACACATGCTAGTAATATGTAAACACCAGCTACATTTGGTACCAGTCCTGAAGCTTGTAATACACAAAATACACGTTATTGCTATTTTGCTCGTAACAAGCTGATATTAGCTGAATAAACAGTCCAATCAAGCCTAACTGCTTGGGTTGCCAGCCTGCTCCCGGATCCCTGAAATTGACCTCTGTCTCTGTCTCTTTAAGAAGTTCCAAGTCTTTACAACACTCTACCTGTTCACTTGTCATCATAACAGGCTACAATGTATTCAGTATTATTTGTAAATACTGACCAAACACACCGAAAACATTTTTAAAACAGAGCCGTAAAATTAAATGAACTAAATTCACCAAAGAGACGTTAATGTTAGATACACTGAAAAAATGACCACTAACAATTTTTTAAAAAATTTAAAAGGTCTCAATTGGGCACTACGAGTTGTGATAAAAAAGGGAGTAGTTTCTACAGAATTGTGTTCAATTTCTGTGGTGACCCACCCGCCATATAATCAGCTTCCTCAATCCACCTGTGTTTTTACCTTTTTTCTAACAACTGCTAAAACCACATGCTAAAACAGCTGCTCTGTTCAAACCGAAGCTAATAAGAAACTTTGGCACTGCGTCACATCGCTTAAAGTAAGCAAACACAACGTAGAGGAGCTTACCCTGAATCCGGGTGTAAATGTCTTTTTTCACAACATGTCTCGGCGTTAGTTAGTCCCCAATATTCATTATAGGTTTACCGTATTTGAGTAGGATTTTTCGCTAACAACCGCTGCCTACAAGAACGACGTGTCTGTTGGGACGGAGTCGCTATGGCAACCGAAGCCGGAAGTTAATTTGAATTGAATATGTTATCGCTCCGCGCGCGCGTTGATATCAGCTTCCGCCTCCCTGCGGGTGTTTGATGACTAATCCTCAACTTCAGACAGATTACTCCTGCGTGACTTTCTTTGTTACATAAATAAGCACACAGTTCAAAAGCATTTATCCCCCTGTTCCCTAAATAATCACGAGTAGACTAGTGGGAATTCCTTGTAAATGATGCTTTCTGTGAGTAGGCTATCAAGATTAATTTTAAGCACTGACTAAAGCTTTCAACCTCCCCTTTTTTTTTGGGGGGGAGTAACTTAACTCATTGAAAATTAACATCTCCTGGCAGTTCGTGTTGACAACCTTTAAAGAAAAGAGAATTTTCCCAAAAGTCCAAATAAAAATGTAAATGCAATTAATTTGAAAAGACCAAAGCAAAATCCATAGATGTGGATTCAAGGGTTGGTCTGTAGGGAAACAATATTACTATAAATATGTCACAAATTTGAAATAGGTACAAATCATGTACTTGTGTCTGATGCAACATTTTCGTTTACCATAAAAATGTTAAATGTTGACCCTGTTTGTCCTACAATTTGTTAAAAAAAAAAACAGAAGAAACAAGTTCTTATTAATCAGTAAAGAAACAGTTTGTTTAACATGTACATGTGTGGTTTTGGCTTTATTTGCATTCTAGGACAAAGAATATACTCAGACAATTTCAAAATCATTGTCAAATTGTGCCCCAAGCTTAACATCTTCTTTCAGCCTTGCAATTTTATCACAATTCTTCCCCAACAGACCACAATAATGGTCCGCCAAACACATGACAGCCTCGTTCCTGAATCCAGCTTTCTTTCCATTCCCTTTTGTCTTTCTCTTCCTCTTCCAACATTGTTGGCATTTGACCTATTGCTCCTGCCATCAGGGAAGTGTGGGTATATGACTTATTGAGTGTGCCTGTGAGATTGTGAGTGTGCATGGTCATTCAGGGTTGTGGCCCTCCAGCTGGATTCTGTCTGTGCTCCTAAACAGTTACTCCCTCCTTCTCCTGTTTTCTGTCAAATCTGCTTGAACACACAGCCTGGCGTGTAGTGGCATACCGATGAGTGAAAGACTGAGCGGAGAAGAGGGAAGGGTGGTAGAAGAACGGTTCAAGGGGCTGTTAGGTGTGGGTGGGGGGGACGAGCATTGTAAGGGGCCAAAAGCACATGAAAGAGTGAGACGAGAAAAAGAAAAAAGGAGCAACATAATGCATGAAAGGGAGGCATGGAACAGCTGAGCAGTTGCAGGAAAAGGACAACCAGTGTACTGTGAAATGTCAGGGCTATTGAATTCATTAGGAGGCAATGATCATGGTGCTACACAGAATGTCATCTGTTGGGTTAAATATTTTTTAGGCAATCTAAATGCTCGGTACACTGTATAGAAACAGTTTTAAAATGATTGTAAACATTTTAAAGAAGACAGTCTTTGCACCAAAAAGTGAAAGGAAGTAATCACCCAGCAGTAGTCAAATTAATTTAACAACCCTACCAGTAGATAATGGTAGCATTTTAATGAAAAGAACTGGAAACTAAAATGGAAAATTTTGACTTTTTCATGCATTCGTTTTCTGCACTTACAAACTGTTAATCGGAGAAAGAACACCAGCTCTCTATACTGACATTCAGTGTCAGGCAGCTGTCATTTCTTTCCTATTTTGTGATTATTATTTTTTTTTTTTATTAATTACACTTTTTTAGATGCCAAATGGACTCATTCAAGATGGACCTGAGCAGAAAAATATGCAGGATGAAAATTTTTTAGCGTTTAAAAAATTGGCACGCAAGTTTGTCTGAAGGCAATCTCCATCAGAATTCTCAGTTTTTTCTTTATTTCATGTAAATGCTTTCTTTAGGCTTCTTCTACTTTGACTTTGATAGCCCAGGAGTAATTTATTTGTTGTGAAACAAAGACTAAAGGCAGCTTTCCCTGAATGCTAATGGCATATTTGTATAAAACTGTCAAATCCAATGAAACTAAACTGCATAGATCAACAGAAATAATGTAGGCTGAAATAAACAGATATTTGTTCAAATTACCTTAGGTTAAGGGGAGAATATGAAGAAAAACAACTTTTTTCTGCTTTTAGGAGTTTCTATTATTGTTTTTTGAAACACTTTGTAGTCACCTATCTCTGAAAATATTGAATTTTACAACTTTTTAGAAGTGCTTGAAGTTATTCTACAAATAGAGTTCAAATTTAGCCTGTATATAATGAGGCTTTACTTTTATTTACAATGTTTGATTAATTTAATCATTCTGAGGTCCAACATCATGGGATGTTTATGGAAAGCTGGAATGGTTAAAAATTCACACATTGTGATGAAAAATTAAACATAAGTGTCTATATTTGAAGTTGGAAAACAACCACTATTTCCACTGTTGTTGAACTAATCTAGCAAATCAAGTACTGTGAGTGCAATGCCAGTATCTGTACCATATATAGTCTTATTTTAGTTTTGATGCATTGTTTAAAAAGTGAATAGAATAAACTAAGTTTAGTAGCAGTTTTCAATTGTTTAATTAGTATAAGTTTTGCACTTCATAAATTAGCACAGGGGGTCTGAAATTCTGATGTTGCCTTGGTCAATCAGCTCAGGCACTAAACATGCCTGCTTGAACCTTAACTTGCTGTTATTTTAAAATAACTATACCTTAATGGAAATGATGGGTGCCACTTATGACCATCTTTATCACAGTATCTTAAGAAAACATATTTCCAAGAGCTAAATTTTTTATGTTAGAAAAAAATAGAAGAGGATTATTATGTCAGCCAATTAATATGAGACATTGTCGATGGGCAGCAATGTGCTATTCAAAAAAAGTCAAAGAAAATCCTGTCCTTCAGTGCTTTCTCTGGAATCACAAAAATAGTACTTGATAGCACAGAGACGTTATGAAAGTGTTTTTAGTGGTTTTAAAATTAAAGCCTTATAAAATCATATACCTTAATACAATAACCGACCCGTGACTAGTAGCCCCTAGGAAACTCTAGAAACCTATTAAACAACAATTTTAAGTAGATGTGTCTTGTTTATAGTGTTTATACTGCAAAACTCTCTTTTCAAACAAGGAAGGTGACACCATCATGGTTTAGTGTGCCACCCAGCAGGATGTCCAACTAATTAAGCTAAAAAAAATCTTCTGAAAATTAGGAGCAATAATGAGATTGTAAGATATCTTCCTTTACACTGTATGAATGGTCTTTTATGCAAGATTTTCATAAATAGTTTCTGAAATTAAATCTCATTTAGATGTTTGTGTCTCAAAGGATTCACTTTTGTGCTTGAGGGTAAAAAACCTAAAGCTGTAAGAACTGCATCAACTTAGGCTGATGGAGTTCAGCCAAAATAATGAACTGAGTTTCACACAACAGTCAGGATTTCTTTTTTTTTTTTTTTCTTTTCTTTTTTTTTTGTGGTTTTATCTTAAAGACCTTGATTACTTATTTTGCAGCAACCATGAAGATCATAAGAAAAAGTACAAAGGATTTGCTTAAAGTTACTTTGATCTTTTCAAAAGCTGGATTTTGTCAATTAAGAATTTGATCTTATGAATGTTGAAAAAGCAAAACTTATGCTTTTTACAACAAGCATTGGGTTTCATGAACAACAAATAGGATCAACTCTAGAAATCAGAAAAAAATTGCATTGCAGTGTTCATTTTGTTAAAACAAATTAAACCCTGAATAAAGAGTAATGTAATGATAAAAAAAGCAACCAAAAATAAACAAAAAAAACAGAATTTTTAAGTGGATTTTAAGGACAATTTTAACAGTTTTTTTCTAGTTAGTTCCAGTCTCTAATTAATGTTTTTAATAAAACATTGCTCTTGGTTAATTATGAACATTTGTACATGTGGATTATACAACAGCTCAACAGCAAATGTCCGTGCAAATACTTTTTTTAAGATTGTACACTAGGTTAATACACAATTTTGGTAAACAATGTAAAGACTCCAGACTTTGTTTTTACATTCAAACTTTTATCATGACCAGTATGTTGATTTCTGTGCTAAATTGGTAAAGGTAAACCTAAGATAAAGGTCATTTTATTTATGTAGCACATTTTCAGCAACAATGCAATACAAAGTGCTTTACAGGAATTCAAAGGAAATACAAAATATTTTGTTTCACACACAGAGGAACCTGAGTGACTTGAGAGCAAAATTCTATTTTAATGACTGAAATTATATTTCATTGTTATCACAAACCGGGCAGTGGGATTAGTGCCTATAAAATGATAAAAATCATTGTTCCATTTGTTTTGTCTGGAAAAAACAAACACTCTTAGACCATGACTGTGAGGAGACATAGTTTTGAAGAAGCCGGTGTAGATGATGAGAAGTCAGAAAAGCAAACGTCGAGAGTTTTGGTACCATCAATGCCACAGTGGAATGAAAAACATGCACAGGGATACTTGTCCAGGTCCTTGACACAATGAGAAGAGACTACTACAGTAACTCTCCTAATGATGTCCCCACACTCCTTTTAGTTCAGTGCAGTATGCCACAGAGGTTTTGTGAATGGGGCAGTTAGTACATTATGCACTGGGATACACACAAATATGACACAATGATAGGAGGCAAAAAGATATTTAAGAAAATAAGTGAGACTGCAGGAGAAAGGCACCAGACCCTCTTGGGACCATGAAAGAATAAACGCATTTGGATAATGAATAGATAGATGGACAATAAGTGGTGTAAACTGACTCATAAAATGGAATATGGTAAAATATGTGACAAGAAATGTAGAGTGCCTTGAGACAGCATTTGTACAGCTTTGAACCTCTGATTCATAAATGTACAATAGCTGTACATAGCTGTATTGCAATCTTGAGAGTAGCATATATCAAGGAAGAAAAGTAGTTGGAAAATCTTATAGATTTCTAAATACATTACAATTAAAATATTAAAAACATGTATTAGAATAAAGTCCCTTTACTCTGATAGA